CCACAAAGCTCGAAAGTTTATCGCCACAACCACGAGCATTAACATTTGGTCCTTCGAGCCGGATACCAGCAAAAAATACAGTCACGAAATCGAAGAGCATCCGGCCACCACGCACAACCAGTTTGGAATCTGAAAGTATAGTCCACAATTGGCTGTGGTGCAGCGATAAAATCAAGTGTTCTAACTGAAAGCAGTCAGTTGGAAGCTCATCATTAAGACGACTGGACAACGTGGGTCATCCTTGGATCTCCAGAGCAGCTGCCGGTCACTGATATAGACATCCAGGAAGGTTTCTGTGCACCTCACCTAGAAGAGCGGACGAGATAGCAAGCGGTATCGGAGCAAACCACTGGGGTCAGGACCACGAGGACTGGGCGAATCAACGTCGCCACTCCAACTTCTCCATCATCTCCTGTTCGTAAGTTTTTTCAATCTTCTACTTGCAATATCGTATAACAATGGAAGGTCAACTAAAAGCACTTGTCGCGGAACGCGGAGCCATGAAGTCACGACTAACTCGTTTTAAGCGCTTTATGGAAACATCGTCAGACAGTATGGATGTAGATGCGTTAGAAAAGAAGACAAATTCATACGCAGATTTGCATGAAAAATTCGACAAGGTACAATGTCAAATCGAGGCAATAGTAACGGGTTCGGATGCTGAAGCATCACAATTCGATGAGCGCGACGACTTTGAGGGGGCGTTTTTCCCATTGATAACCAGAGCGGAAAAACATATTTTGCATTTACGAGGTTCAGTAACATCTCCAAGCACAGTTTCTAGCGTTATAGATTCGCAAAACACTCCTAGATTACCCACAATCGTACTACCCACCTTTGACGGAAGATATGACCATTGGGTACGATTTCGAGACACATTTTTGACAATGGTCCACAATAATTGTTCATTGACAGATATCCAACGCTTTCATTACCTAAACTCAGCGTTAAAGGGCGTCGCTGCGCGCACGGTAGAATCGTTGGGTGTTTCTGAAGCAAATTATAAACTTGCGTGGGCCAACCTAAAGAGACGGTTTGAGGATCCAGATTCACTGATCCACCATCATGTAAACGCACTTATAGAAATCCCGACCATCACACATCAAACTAGCGTCTCATTGCGAGAATTCATAGACAAGGCCAACAATCAATTGGTAGCATTAGGTGCGTTGGGTGAACCGATAGAATCTTGGGACACATTTATCATAATTTTATTAGCGAAAAAATTAGATGCAAAAACATTCAATGATTGGGATACATTCGCGACAAACGCCTCGCGCAGGCCGAAATTTAACGATTTCGTCAATTTCCTCGAAAGACAAGCGAAACGGCTCGAGCGAGCAACCACTAATCCCCAGACAACCGCGCAGGTAGTTAACGAGGTGAAAAAGGTTCGCGTCAATAGGGCCCCGGGCAGGTCAAATTCCGTAGCCGTTCACGTTTCGAGTACGCGCAATCAATGCGTACTATGTAAAGGTGAGCACCTGCTACAATATTGCACACAGTTGAAGGAAATGTCAACTCCCGAAAGACAGGAGACAGTTAAACGCCTTCGATCTTGCTTTAATTGCCTCAATCAAGGGCACGGCGTCAGCGGGTGCACGAGAGGAACGTGTAGAAAATGTGGGAAAAGGCACCACACTCTTCTACACCAGGATAAAACGAGCGAAACGGCCACTTCGGCAGAATCCTCAGCTACTTCTACACCATCGTGCGTGTCAAATTCAGCCAGCGCCGCATTCGAGTACACAGTGCTATCCACAGCAGTCGTGTACATCAAGGGAAAAAACGGTCAAAAACATAAATGTCGTGCGTTACTAGATGTAGGTTCACAAGCCAATTTTATAACGGACGAATTGTGCAAACGATTAGATCTCAATCGCTCCGCCATAAAAACCACTGTAGGTGGCCTCGGTATGTCGGGAAATTGCATACGGTCCAGGACTAGCGTCGCGATCAGTTCAATGTGTAATAATTTTCGCGCAGACCTCTCGTGTCTTGTAATAGACAACATCACGGAGGATATGCCTAATTTACCAACAAATCTCACGAAGGTGGCCATACCAGCCAGTGTTACGCCCGCCGATCCGCACTTCGATCGACAATCTAGAATCGATTTGTTAATCGGAGCCGGTCTATTTTGGAAGTTACTTTGTATTGGGCAACACAAAGTAGAGTCAAGCGATTTAGTGTGGCAAAAGACACGCTTGGGTTGGGTGCTGGGCGGCAGCTTCAACTGGTCCATTACCACTCACAAGCAAACCAACAGTACCTGCCACACAGTAACGAACGCAGACTTGAACAAAACAATTTCTCAATTCTGGGAAATTGAAGAAATTCAACCCTCATTCACATCAAATTCAAATAGCTCAACCGACCCCAGCGAGGTACATTTTGACCACACGACAACACGGGACGAAACTGGACGATACACAGTTAGCATTCCGTTTAACAACAAACTAGACGAACTTGGACAGTCACGCACTCAGGCTAAAAATCGGCTGCTGGGTGTGGAACGTAGATTTTTAAAGGACCACGAACTTCAAAGACAGTACACTGACTTCATGACTGAATACGAAGCACTGGGACACATGACGCGACTGACAGATCATGAATCAGTAAATGCAGAACCAAGTTATTACTTACCGCACCACGCGGTTTTCAAACAATCAAGCAGTACCACAAAAATTCGAGTCGTCTTCGACGGTTCGGCGAAGAGTTCATCTGGAGTCTCCTTGAATGACACACAACTCGTAGGGCCCACTGTACAAAGTGATCTTTTTGAAATTCTCATCCGGTTTCGCAAACACCGCCTCGTACTTTCTGCGGACATCGCAAAAATGTACAGACAAGTGTTAGTGCACCCAGAAAATCGCCGGTTTCAACGAATTTTGTGGCGCGCCAATACTAACGACTCCATCCATACCTTCGAATTGAATACCGTCACTTACGGCACTGCATCAGCTCCATTCTTAGCGACGCGTGTACTTAGACAAATCGGCCTCGATCACGCTCAATCGTTTCCAACAGCAAGTCGTACTATCGTCAACGACTTCTACGTTGACGATCTACTTACCGGCTGTGAAACTATTTCGGAAGCAATAGAATTACGACGCGACTTGACCCGAATATTAGAGCAGGCAGGATTTTCATTAATAAAATGGGCAAGCAACAATAGCAACGCGTTAGAGTCATTAAATAGCGTGCAAGGGGCGGTTGAAATCAAAGAAGCCGATCAGGATACGAAAACCCTCGGACTGTTGTGGATAGCCGATGCAGATGAACTGCACTACTCAATTCGCGACCACCATCTAAAGCGCATCACGAAGCGCAGTATTCTCTCTGAGATCGCGCAAATTTTCGACCCTCTTGGATTGATAGGACCGGTAGTCACACGGGCAAAATTGTTCATGCAAAATCTATGGCAATTAAGGGTGAACTGGGACGAAACTTTGCCGCAAGATCTCCACACACAGTGGTCCACTTTCCGTGAACAATTGCAAAGTATTACCTCAATAATTATACCCCGCCGCGTAATTAGTGATAATATGGATTACGTTGAGCTCCATGCTTTTTCGGATGCCTCGGAAAGGGCCTACGGAGGGTGCGTATACCTGCGTACGGTAGACGCGACAGGGGATGCGACAGTCCGATTGTTGTGCGCAAAGTCGCGGGTAGCACCGCTGAAGTCAACGACCCTACCGCGATTAGAACTGTGTGGCGCTCTTCTGGCTTCGCAATTGGCAGCCAGGGTCAAGTGCATATTTCAAATGGACTTCGCCGAAGAACACTATTGGTCAGACTCGACGATAGTTTTAGCATGGCTCGGGAGCCCCCCAACAAAATGGACAAGATTCGTCGCGAATAGAGTATCGGAAATTCAGGGACTAACGGCTTCCGGTAGCTGGAATTGCATAAATTTCAACATTGGAACTGCTGATATGTGCCGATATACGTATACTGTTTCAAGTACGAATGATTAAGAATTCGTGAAAGATATATTTACTGTTAAAGTTTGAAAGATCTCATAAAGTTTGAAGTTTCTCATAATTTAAAATGTGTGTGGCACAACCGATAAACCGATTACGAGAAAATTGCACTTTCTGCCGGCAATTTCGAATTACAATGGTACCTGTTTCTTTTTTGCACATTCTTCAAGCAGTATATTTCCATGTAATATTCACATATTCATGTCTAAAATTATAATAAGTAAAAATTGAATTTAAGGTCATAATCTTTCACATTGGTACGAGCATTATAATTTCTTGTTACACATACCATCAGGTTCGTTACACGATGGTAATCGGTGATCGACGTGGCGTATCAGCCATTCCACGTCAAACCGCATACTTTTTCCACTAGGTCACCGACTTATTTCAATTTGGTACATTTATTGGTAGGCATGGAAAACTAACTTCTGTAAAATTTTGGTCTCCTATGTTGAATGTTAAAGTATTGAAAGATCGAGTAAAATTGGCTCACATACCACCATTTCGCCCTCAATATTTCTGCATAGGTAAGAGATACGAACGTGACCTGGGGATTTCAACCCTCGGCCGAGAGTGCCGTTATACGCGCGTGTGGATTGACCCTTCAGTAATACCTGGTTTGTAACACGTCTTCGGTTATCGAGGGCGCGGAAAAGACGAAATTCTAAAGGCATTGTTCTGTAAGAAATTACTTATTTTTTCGCGGAGCTACGAAGCGTCTTTGTTCTCAAAAATAACCTTCTAGTGCGAGCGTGCCATAAACCCGGTCAGCGAAGACCCCACGCGTTCCGTAACTGCGCGACGGAACAGTTACGCTGAACACTGTATATTGTATTACACTTTTCAAGACTTCGTTATAATTAAAATTTTTTTGAGACAACTTGATATACAATATTGAATTTTTTAAAAATTTCGTTTCATTTTTAACATTTTTTCATATTTAACTTCAGTATCTTTTAAGACGATTAACAAATTTCCGTTTCACGATACTCTTCACGCGGTTCGCGACGTATTAAACCAGCGTGATTCCCTTACGAACTTTTACGCAGATAAGGGATGATTGACTGAGAATGGGGTTGGATTTTTGTAACAATCAATTATTATTTACAAACAAGAGTGAAAATCTAAGCTATCTTAAACTAGGAATCTTTATCAATGTAAGTGTCTAGGAAGTCTGTGTGAACTCGCGTTTTCTTTTTTCCGTGTAGTGAGGAGTTTGTTTTTATACTGATTCTATGTCCGTCGGTTTTCCTTCACCTTACCTCGGATAAGGCGTGTCTTAGGGTTTTGAGACATGCGGATTGGTTAATGTCATTAGTCGGAGGTAGCGAGGGTGGTGGTTGATATTTTAACTGATAGGTTAGAAAAAATGCGGAAGGAGAAACAAAATAGCCACTCCCAAGTGAACAGTCACTCTCAGGTAGAACACGTGCTCCCTGGGTGCCGTCGCGAAAATCCGCTTGCCTCGAAACCCGGAACGGTACAGGTAATAAACTTATGAAGCACTCTGAGGTGAACAATACATGAAAGAAACAAAGTAAAATTCTAAACCTCGGTCATCGGTGAAAAAACAGGGACTTATAAGGAATGCGATGGAGAATCAATGGCTTCATAAAGTTATTGTCTCTACCGACGGGTCAGGATTTGGAGAAATATTCGAACGATGCAAAATTTAGAAATCCTAACCCGGTTTATGGAGGGCTCTTTTCCCTTGGGGTAGTGCAGGTATGTGCCGCGTAACAGATACATCATTTCAGTGTTCAGCTGTTGTAAAAATTAAATTTTCTCATGTATCGTACTCAACTACCATCCAATGAGACCATTTGAAAGAAGTGAAACTAAAGTACAAACATACAAAAAGGAGCAAACAAAACAGAGCAGAAGAATAGCAGAAAAGAAAAAATGACATGCTCGGAAGAAGCCACTTATTACGGGTCAGAATAAAGTCGTGCCTTTCTGTCGTGATAAAGAACGATTCTACGAAGAGAAGAGTTGTATGGCGCAAGGGGTGAGTTAATATTAAAAGCAACAAGCAACGAATAGTTGCGGTTGCGGAAGGCAAGCCAGGGTTTTCCTAAGTTATTGTTGTGACCGCCGCTATTCTGTGCTCTTCTGTTCGTCGTTTTTCTACCCTCTTTTGACTTGCTTTGTTAAATTAAATTTTGTCCGACGCGCGGAATGTCGACGAACTCGCTTCGTACGTTTCCGTAAAATTATGCAAAAACTGGTTCTCTGCCACCTTTGTTGGTGTTCGTGTCGCGAATTTGGGAAAGAGGGAGCCATTTCTTCGGTTTCTTTCAAGAATTGACAATATTGTCACGTAGCGTTAAATCTCAGAATGCAACTGGATCGAAACGTGTTACTGGTTCTGATTCGATTTTAGAGACGATGACGTTTTGGTGTACTCGGGGAATTTTGGACAGATTTTGAGTAAATGATATCAAAAATCTCCGGAGATATGGTATTTCTTCTGTGAAATAATTCGTTTATACCTTTTAACATGCCTTCTTACGTCTGTTGAACAGTTTTTGGGTAAATATTCAGGGAATGGACGCAATATAATGAAATACACCCGATGATTGAAAGAGTAGTTGTACTTATTTACGCGTTTATGTTTTTCTGTGGGATTAGAATGCATATTAAAAGTATTTTAAAATTTTAAAACACTTAGACATACCAAAAAATGGGATACTTACTTCAAACGACTCTAAATTTAGTATGTTTTAATATAATTCTATGCAAGTAGTAAGCTTGTTATAGCTAAAATTTAATATAGATAAAGAACAATTATTAGTTAGTATTAAAGCATTAATATTTAAGCTTTAAGTTTAACATCTACTTTAGTTTTTATTAACATCTCCTAAAAATGTCAAGAAGTTCTATTGTCAAAATGTATATGAAAATAGACGAAAATGTTTTAAACATAATGGATGAAATGAATGTTTCGTAAAATGTAGGTACATTTTATTACTTACATAATTAGGTATGCACATGTTACGCGGAAGCGTATTCAAGCAGAGGGTAACTATAAAATGTCGCAGCAATCACACGGGCGTAGATGAATTGAAATTTTCCTTCAGCAATTAGTAAGGAATTGTGTTGGTGATTATCCAGTCCAGAGCCGGTTAGATAGACGTTTTACGAGCAAGAACGCTCTCCGTTTCTTGTGAGCACTGCTATACTCTGTTCAAAATGAGAGTAACCTCGCTTCGTGCATGGGACGTGCCTGGCTAGAACCACTAGAACCTCCAAACCCCCCACTTAACCGCCTACGTTTTTCTCCGTCTTACCCTCTGTGTCGCGTCGTGTTCTTTTGCGATGTTCAACAGGAAGCTCGTGGTCGCGACTGTTACCCGCCAAATTAATCTTGGGTAACTAGTTCAAAATCTACTTTGCTCGAACGTTAGCAAAACGTAGAGTGCGTCACGAGCGATTGACGACTTTGTTTCAAAGACTCGAATTGTACTTGAACGGCTGGAGAGAGTATCTTGGTCACATGAGAGAATCTTTCGAATGTGTTGTGTCTCCTCGAACGGCTGGAGATCTAGACGTGTTCTTTTCTGACTCTCTCGCTCGATTCCCGAATTCTTCTGGAGTCCGCAGTGACTCCCCCGCCAAGTGCAAGAAGGCACGCTGATTGGTTTTTTCACGTACGCACAAATTACTAATCAACGTGCCCCTTGAGTGTCACCCACCCTTCCATTGCGCCCTTTTCCTTGGAAGGAGTGGGGCCCTACCTGCGGGTGCGTGGAATCTTCGCTGTCCTTCGGTGACGCGTCGGAAATTCCCGCCAGGTCAACCCTCGGCCGAGAGTGCCGTTATACGCACGTGTGGATTGACCCTTCAGTAATACCTGGTTTATGACACGTCTTCGGTTATTGAGGACGCGGAAAAGTCGAAATTCTAAAGACATTGTTCTGTAAGAAATTACTTATTTTCTCGCGGAGCTACGAAGCGTCTTTGTTCTCAAAAATAACCTTCCCGTGCGAGCGTGTCATAAACCCGGTCAGCGAAAACCTCACGCGTTCTGTACCTGCGCGACGGAACACTCTGCTATGCTCTCTGTCTATGCGCAAAACGGAGGAGAATCGGTCCGAGAGCGAGGTTACTCTCATTTTGAACGACGCATACGAGCAAAGTGAAGAGTAAATGACGTCGACAGTCGTCAATGGAGTGCGGATCAATGGTCATGGAGAGAGTGTATACAGGGTGATTCAGCTAAATGTGCCACCTAAATTACTTGTAAACTGTTGGTTACATGAAAAAATAGTTCAAACAAATGGTCCTACTATAGGATCGTTATTCGAGTTTGTCTGACGACTTCACAGAGTTCAAACTAGTAAATAGTTCAAACAAATGGTCCTACTATAGGATCGTTATTCGAGTTTGTCTGACGACTTCACAGAGAGCTACTTCGAGATCGGCTCTGATCTAGTTGCATACGAATTGCAGGCAATGTGATCGGTATGCTAAATTTAAAGACAACTACGAAGATATAAATATGGCAGTTAGTTCGTGGAAGGAGGAACATGATGGACAGAGAGGATAAGTAGAAAAGGAAGTTTAATAGAGAAATGCGTTTCGTCCTAGGCCCAAAAATGATTAGGTTAAAATAGGAGAAACTAGGAAATCATCTTAAATACATAAAACCTAGGGAAAAAGTGAACTGTTGCAATCTTTAAACGATGTACGGATAAAAATTTCACAGCAATATATTCAGCGTCTTATCAAATTAATGTCGAAATCTAATCGATACCAGTGTACAAATTCTGATTTGGTATCGAATAGTATCAAAGACGTACACTACCGTGCATAAGTATTTGGACACTTTCATATTATTCGAAATGCAGGAAATATACTTTAAATAAACCAATGAAAATAACATTTGAGAGGAATTAGTATAAATGAAAAAGCAATAACTAAAATCGGTTAAATTATTACCCCAATGTGTTGTGCCAACGGTCAAACATGGCAGTGGTAATGTAATGTTTTGG